AGGTGGGGACCTGGCCAGGACATCAGCCAGGTGTGGCTCTGTCCTGAGCAGCCAGCTGGGCCTTGGTGGCTTTATGAGCTCAGCATTTGGGTCTTTTCCATCTAGCCTGAAGGCTGCCAGGGCCCAGGGACACCCTTCCTGAGATCAAAATCTCCTTTCTTGAGTACCCACAAGGTGGTACTTATACAACTAGAACTATGACCAGCCATAAATTTTCCTTCTTAAAGAAAAAAACAAAAATCTAGAAACAGCCTTACAGGGCTGATAGCCACCTCGAATCAGGCTTTTGTTTCGCTGTGTCCTGTTTACACCCTGAGAATACAGGAGCTATGGGCTCAGCTCCCGGGACTGGAAGTGATGTCTCCTAGGCTGGGGCCTCCCCAGATGCCCGTTCTCTGCTGGGGCTTCCTGAGTAGGCGAGGAGTGCTGGCATGATTTCTTCTCTCAAGGCTACAGTCTTGTTGGTCCTCCCAGACTTCCAACTGGGAAGCACTTGAGGCCCAGAGAGGTGGTGCAGTTTTCCCGAGGTCACACAGCAGTATGGAACCTGAACCCAACTTGCACATCCCCTTCCCTGGAGATCTTCGCTGCCAGTTTGGAGGCTTGAGGAGGAACAGTCTAGGTCAGAGGTTTTCAGCTGGGGGCGATTTTGCTCCCCAGGGGACATTCGGGAGGAGGCTGCGCCCTGGCCTCTAGTGGGTAGAGGCCAGGGCTGCTGCTAAACATCCTACAACACACCGGGCAAGTCCTGATAACAACGATCCAGCCCAAAGTGTCAACAGTGCCAAGACTGTGAAACCCTGGTCTCAGTTTAGCCGCTTGGAGGCCAGAAAGAAGCGGTTAAAACTGCAAAGCCGGTCAAAGCCCAGCAGCTAGCGGTGTGCAGCGGAAGAACTCCCGACACGCTTTGTTCACGGTATTTCTCACCTAGGAGATGCGGGCGAGGAGCCTGGTCCCTAATGGGGACACAGACTATGGATGACACCCTCCCCCGAGCCTGAGGCCCCCTACTTCCCTTGCGGGTCTTGGGTTTCCAGGCCCAAAGCTAGAACCGCGGAAAGGTCACAGTCGGCATTGAATGAAAAACACGTCTGGAGGTGGAGGCAGTGGGGGCAGGGAGAGGGCAAGCCCGGGGGCCTCTGCTGAGCTAGCAGGCCTGGACCAGCGGGGACAGAGCCCTGCCGTGCGCCACCCACCTTCCCCACTCCCGGCCCTGCCTTCCACCATCCCGCCAGCATCGGGAGGGCCCTGTGCATCCTGTGTGGTCAGCGTGGCCCTTGAAACCTCCCAGAGTCAGGTGCCCAGCATGCCACAGGCATGAACATTTAAGATGCAGAGGGGCTTCCCTGGTGGCACAGTGGTTAGGAATCCGCCTGCCAAGGCAGGGGACACGGCTTTGAGCCCTGGTCCGGGAAGATCCCACATGCCACGGAGCAACTAAGCCTGCACGCCACAACTACTGAGCCCGCGAGCCACAACTGCTGAAGCCCGTGCGCCTAGAGCCCGTGCTCCGCAACAAGAGAAGCCACCGCAACGAGAGTAGCCCCCACTTGCCGCAACTAGAGAAAGCCCGCGCGCAGCAACAAAGACCCAACGCAGCCAAAAAAAAATAAAATTAATTAATTTTTAAAAATATAAGATGCAGGGAATTGTGAAAGAGCGCTCCCAGACTAGCCCACCCCCTCAGAGCTGAGGCAGGAGCCTGCCTCCAGTAGTGTATCAATTTGTAAGGCTGCTGGAACCAAGTACCACACATTGGGCGGCTTAAACAACAGAAATACGTTCATTCGCAGTTCTGTGGCCAGGAGTCTGAAGGGCTGGCTCCTTCTGAGGCTGCAAAGGAGAATTTGTTCCAGGCCTCTGTCCTCGGCGTGCAGATGGCCATCTTCTCCCTGTGTCTCTTCCCGTCATCTTCCCGCCACGTGTGTCTGTGTCCAAATTTCCCTTTTATAAGGACACCACCAGTCCTTATAAAGGGACCGCACCCTAACTTAACCGATTATAGCTACAACAACCCTCTTTTTAAATAAGGTCACATTCTGAGGGACTGCGGGATTGGACTTTAATATTTGAATTTGGGGAGGACACAGTTCAACCAGGACAGGCCCCAGGAAGGCAGCTGTTGGTCCAGAGGCAGGGGCGGGAGGTCTGGTGGTTAGGGGCCTGGGTTCTGGAACCCAACAGCTCTGAATCCAACCAGCTCTGTACCTGGCAGTGCAGCTTCTGGGTACCAGTCTGATTCCTCATGATGATGCTGAGATGATACGAGCGCCTACTCTAAGCTGCTGGGGAAAATGAGAAAGTGTGTGCAAAGCACGCAGCACTGCATATGGTACATTCAGAGCTCCCTCGTGCAGCCTCATTGAGAAAACGTTCCTTGGGCACATGCTGGGTGCCAGCCTGGGTGACATTTAGGACAGACAGGAGCCTCCCAGAGCGGGGGCAGCATGTGCTCACACAGGGGCCCCAACGTCTCCTTCTGTGGCCATCTTGGGTCTGTGCTGTCGAGATTCCTGGCAGACAGGACGGGAGGAAAAATCCCTGCCTTTCTCATAAGAATCGCCAGTGATTCGGAGCTGAGGCCGTCTGCCCACAGCCTGCCTCTCACCTCGTGGCCTTGCTAATGCTTTTCCCTCGTCTGCTTTCCTCACCTCACATTCCTCAGCCAACTCTTACTCATCCTTTAAGACTCAGTGCTGGGGACTTCCCTGGTGGCGCAGTGGTTAAGAATCCGCCTGCCAGTGCAGGGGATACGGGTTCGAGCCCTGGTCCTGGAAGATCCCCCATGCTGCGGAGCAACTAAGCCTGTGCGCCACAACTACTGAGCCTGTGCTGTGGAGCCCGTGAGCCACAACTACTGAAGCCTGTGTGCCACAACTACTGAAGCCCGCGCACCTAGAGCCCATGCTCTGCAACAGGAGAAGCCACCGCAATGAGAAGCCCGCACACCACAACGAAGAGTAGCCCCCGATCGCCACAAATAGAGAAAGCCCGCGTGCAGCAAGGAAGACCCAACGCGGCCAAAAATAAAATAAGTAAATAAACTTAAAAAAAAAAAAAGAAAGACTCAGTGCTGGTGCCACCTCTTCCAGCAAGCCCTCCTGCAGTGGAAAACCTGCATCACGGATCACGTGCCCCTCCTCTGTGCTCTGATTGCCTCCTGGAGCCCGGCGCTTGTTATTACAATGATCTGTTCCCCACTCCACGGTGATGTCAGAGGCAGGAAACCACATTTCATTTGCTCTCTCCCCTCGGGGGCCCCGCTTAATGCCTGGTCCATAGAAGGTGCCCAGCAGTCGTGGTCACCCGGCCTGAACTCCCTGTGCAGCCCACAGCGCCCCACCCCACCCCAGCCCTCCGTGGCTCAGCTCCAATTCACCTGGCTGAGGGGCACAAGGGCTCCATTGTATGCCAGAGTGGACCAGGATGGGGGTGATGCTCTGAAGGGTGGGGCGCAGGCTGGGGCCCAGATAGATGGAGACCCAGACAAAGCCCTCTTTTTTTTTTTTTTTTTTTTTTTGCGTGGGCCTCTCACTGCTGTGGCCTCTCCCGTTGCAGAGCACAGGCTCCGGACGCGCAGGCTCAGCGGCCATGGCTCACGGGCCCAGCCGCTCCGCGGCACGTGGGACCCTCCCGGACCGGGGCACGAACCCGCGTCCCCCGCATCGGCAGGCGGACTCTCAACCACTGCGCCACCAGGGAAGCCCCAACGCCCTCTTTAAGAGGGGATCATAGCAGCTGTGCTGACAATGTCCTGATTCGGGAGCCTGGATGTCAAAAGAACCAAATGCCGACGGTGCCATGAACTTGGCAGTGCCCAGAGGTCACTTGAAGGTGATCAGTGGGCAATGGGCATCAGTGCACACAGCTCACCCACTCCTGCATCAAAGGTCCCTAGAGGGTGGCCCTCAGGCCGCTGGCGCTGCCGGTATGCACAGGAGTTCTGGCACCGGGGGTGAGAGCTGTACATCTGGTCAAGTTCCATTGCGGTCCACTGGGACCCACACCTGGGGACTTGTGGGCGGGTGTATCTTCATTTGGGTCTGAAACTTGATCAGGGCTCCTGCTGCTGGCGTTAGGGCCTGAGCCTGGAACTGGATCCTGGGACAAGCTTACAGGGCACTGGGGCTGAAGCCCTGAGGTGGTGGCTGGGGACAGGTGGGCACCGCAGGTACAGCCGCAGGCCCCGACACCCTGCACTCAGCTCACCATGGCCACCCAGCCTCTGGCAGGCTGTGAGGGGACCTCAGTCAGTGGCCTCATTCTCTCCCTGCACAAAGCCCCAGCCCAGCCTGTCTGGAGCATCCCCTCTAACTGGCTTACCTGGAATCCCATCTGATTGGATAAGACCTCTGGGTGAGGGTCCTGGGTCGGGCCTCCTAGGGAGCTGTCTTACCTCTTCCTTCTTCCCTCCTCCATTGAGAATCCCAGAAGGGGGCCCTGCTGGGACCCCAGGGGTCTTAGGCCAGTTTAGACGCAGTGAGCACAGCTGTGTACCTATTGGGAGGAGTCTGGTGGGAGTTCCAAGGCTGTGGTCCTCCCGGCACTGGGCCTCCTGAATCCTGGTGCTGGACGGGGGTGCACCGACAGGGACCCATGTGGATCTCCCAGGTCCATGGAGCCGGGCTGGGCTCCCAAGTCGGCCTCCTCTGTCAGTCAGCTCCCTCTGCCCCTCCAAGGGGCTGCCCCTCCTGCCTTGTCTGCTCTCAAGTCCTCTTCGGGCTGTCACTGGTCCTGGCTCCCCTGCCGACCCAGGAAAGGGGCTGCATCACTGTCTCTGCGACCTTGGGTGGCTCTAGGACAGCCCGTCCTCCTCAGTGCCTTGTCCTTTGTCAGGACTCAGTTTACCTCTTGGCCCCGGCATTCCCGGACACAGAGCATCGTCCCCACTCCTTCCCATGTCTTGAGTGAGGAGGGGTGAGGTCAGCGGTCAGTGTTGACATTGGTATGGGCCTGGGGCTCCCGGGTGACCACCAGCCTCCCCTCGGGTACCTTTGCAGATGGTGGTTCTTATGGACCCAATGGAAGACCCCGATGACATCCTGCGGGCGCATCGCTCCCGGGAGAAGTCCTACCTATTCGACGTGGCCTTTGACTTCACTGCCACCCAGGTGAGGGGGGCCTGGGCCCAGGGACACACAAGATCCTCTCTCTGCCCTTTGACCCCCTCAGGAGGGAGTCCTTGGGGGACCCTGCCACCGACCTTCAGCCTTCCTTCCATCACTTGCTGTCTCCCCACACGTGCAAGTGTGCGTGTGCCTGCGTGGTGCATTCAGATCCTCCTGCGTGGACACGCCCCGGTCAGCACGCAGAGGCCGCCCTACACGGGGACCCACACAGCACACCCCACAGGTGGCCCCTATGGGAGCTGGAGGAGAGTGCTTGAAGCCCATCTGGTGCTGGGAGGGGAGCTACGGGAAGCTGACACCCTCCCAGGGACCCCCGTCTTGCCCATCTGCGGGATGCTCCCAGCGGCAGATGTAATGCGTGCGTCCTCGGGGCTGGGGGCTGGGAGCCGGCTGTGGGGGGAGGCGTCTCAGGTGTCCTGAGCTCTCTTTCAGGCTGGCATCCCCCCATGGGGTGAAAGCAGAGACATCCATTCCCCACTTCCCACCCCCACTTCTCTGGGGCTGAGGGCTCCAGGGACAGAAGCTGCTTCTGTTGGGAGCCAGGATGTGCCTGTGGGCCTGTGTGCTCTGCCCTGCCTGTGCCCAGGCCCCTGACGGGTCTCCTCTTTCCTGCAGGAGATGGTGTATCAGGCCACCACCAAGAGCCTCATTGAAGGCGTCATCTCAGGCTACAATGCCACTGTCTTTGCCTATGGTCCCACAGGTGAGGGGGAGCCCAGCCCACGGAGAGGACTGTGTGCCCTGGTTGTCCCCTCTGAGAATCAAGCCCCCTTGCCCTCCACCACCGAGCTAGTCTGGCCCCAACCAGAGCAGGGTCCGAGGACGTGGCTGATTAAAACCACCCTCCCCCAGGGCGCTTTGGACCCAGAGCCCCATCGCCAGCCAGGGATGCCATCTTCTCCCCTTCCCCCCACCTCCCTGGCCATCTGGGAGGGTCCCGCCTTGAGGACAGACCCAGGTTTGCCAGGAGCCCCTGCTCACCCGCCGCCCTGCTCTGCCCCAGGCTGCGGGAAAACCTACACCATGCTGGGCACAGACCACGAGCCCGGCATCTACGTTCGGACCCTCAATGACCTCTTCTGTGCCATTGACGAGACCAGCAACGACATGGAATATGAGGTGTCCATGTCCTACCTGGAGGTGGGTCCTCCCTCCACCCTGTCCCGTGGGCTTGGACAAGAGGCCTATAGGACCGGGCTGGCTCACCTCCCTGTCACGGGGCAGTTTCCTGGGGTGCTCATCGCTGCTGCTCTCCCATGTGCACATGGTTGGCCTCACTTTATAAAAACTGAGGCTCAGAGAGGTTAGGCAACTAGATCGAGGTCACACAGTAAGTGAGGGAGCAGGGATTCAAACTCAGGACCCCAGGGCTTCAAAGCCGAGCCGTGCCCGTTGTGCCACACCCCAAAGTAGCCTTGTCGCGGAGCACAGACCTCAGCCGTCCTCCCAGACGCCATCCTCCTGGGCACACTCCTGAAAGCCAAGCCTGTCTGCCCTGCCGGGCTACGTGCAGGCACTCAGTGTCTATAGGTACAGGTGGGAACTGCACGTACACGGACAGGCTGGGACCTGCCAGCCTTCGCTCTCTTGCCACAGCCTCTGATGCCCACCTGTATGAGGGCTACCACCAGGCAATGAGGGGTCAGCGGGGGTGACCAGGCGGTGGGGGGGGGACACACAGAGGCCAGAAGAGGCAGGAGAGCCAGCAGGCTAGACGCCATCTGGCTCCTGGCCTCTCCGGCTCCCTCCGGGAGCTGATAATCTCCCGGGTGACAGCTCAGGAAGGGCAGCGAGACAGTGCTGCCAGCAGCTGCTCCAGCCAGCGTGGCGTTGACTCAGCCAGCAAGATGCACTCTGGGGGCCTGCGAGGTGGGAGCAGGTGAAGGTCGAGTATGGGTTGCCTAGCAACAAACAGGGCTCGGCCGTGGGTCAGGCCCCATCCCCCGTCCGGGGCCTGGCCAGCCTGTTCCGTGTGGTTCTGATGCCTCTGCACCCTTGCCTCTGGCAGCCCCATGTTTCCCTCCGGGTGCTGAAGCCCCCTATGCCCACCCCATAGGAAGGAAGGGGTCTTCCTCCTTAACCAGGGTTTCCCTGAGAGGAGCCTGGAGCTCTCGGGAGGGACAGAGAACCTGGCCATTGCCTGAACCTCCTGCCCTTGGTCTCCCGTTAACATCTGTCCCCTGCCCCTCCCAACCTGGCCCATCAGATCTACAATGAGATGATCCGGGACCTGCTGAACCCTGCCCTGGGGTACCTGGAGCTGAGGGAGGACTCCAAAGGGGTGATCCAGGTGGCCGGGATCACCGAGGTCTCCACCGTCAATGCCAAAGAGGCGAGTCGCAGTAGGGAGGGACACTAACCTCCCGGGGAGGGTGGGGATGGGTGGGAGGGAGCAGCTTCCCGAGCAGCTGGGCTGGGGCTGGGGCAGACACAGACAATCCTGGATGACACGCCCCCAGCCACGCAGACCCTGGGGGCTGACCAGGCAACCAGTCTCCCAGTTTACAGACAGACCCTGACCTCCCAGGCCCCGCAGCACCCAGGGGGCCGACCCACCCCTGCCTGGGCCCCTTCCCAACCTCTCAGCTGCAGGACGTGGGAGCATCCTCACGGGTCCCCAGGAGTGGCCTCCCTCCCCCGTCCCCACCCACCCAGATCATGCAGCTGCTGTTGAAGGGGAACCGGCAGAGGACCCAAGAGCCCACGGCCGCCAACCAGACGTCCTCCCGCTCCCACGCCGTGCTCCAGGTGGCCGTGCGCCAGCGCAGCCGGGTCAAGAACGTCCTGCAGGAAGTGCGGCAGGGCCGCCTGTTCATGATCGACCTGGCTGGCTCGGAGCGGGCCTCCCAGGTGAGGCTAGCTCCCCTGGGGAGAGGCTAGCTGGGGAGAAAGCCTGGGGGGCAGGGCAGGGATGCTGGCCGCCCAGCTCCCCAAGGGGTGAGGGTGGGGACTGTCCCAGGGAGGGCGGGGATGAGGGGGACCCCGAGGGGAAGGGACTGAGGAATGTCTCCGATGAGCAAGAAGGATGGGGGGGGACCCTGGGGAAGCACACAAGGGCTGTTTGTGGGAAGGGGCCTGGGAGCGTGGGGATTTCTCCAGGGAAGGAGACAGTGGCTGCCCCCGAGGAGCGGGGAACAGGCAAGAGAATGAATGGGCCCAATGAGGAGCTGGGGCAGGGGGGAAACAACGTCCCCCGACTGGGGGCACCCTGGGCAGAGCCCGGGAGGGGGCCCTTGCCAACCACATCAGGGAGAGAAAAAGGTCCATCACCCATTTCTCAGCATTTGTCCCCCATCACTAAGCCCTGTCCGCCTGGCCCTGCGCCTGGGCCCGGGCCCCCTCCTGCAGGCAAACTTGGAGGTTTCAGGGTCACGTGAGTGCTGGGGCTGCGTGATGTCACCGTTAGCACTGAAGCAAATGCAAGGGACAGGACAGCGCCAGGGAGATGTAACAGGGCTTGTGTTTGAACGTGTGGGGTTGGTTTAAACAGGGTGGGGTTGGAGAAACACACCCCTCTCTTCCAGTAAAGGCCTGAGGGCTTCCTGGAGGAGGAGTACAGGGGAGCAGCCAGCTCCCCGCAGGGGGAGAGGGTGTGCCCCGCGGCCACTGGAGTGAGTGGGTCCCAGCTTCATCAGGCTGGGCAAAGACGTCTCCCGAGGGCGGCTGTAGGCAGAGCCTCCTGGGACTTGACACTGTCCTGCTCTCACACCCACTTACATACACCTCAACCCATTTCCTCACTCACAGACTTTCTTATACACACATACATGCTGTCACATATACACATGCAATTCACACACACTCACTCCCCCCCTCCACACACACACACAAACTTCCCTCTTCCCTCCCTGAAGCCTGGCGCACCCTCTAGAGCCGTGTGCCCATGGCCACGACTGCTGCCATGCCCGTGGCCAGGCCGGCTCTCAGCTGAGCTGCCTGGGAAGCCACGACCCACCTCCATCGCATTCTCGGCGCTGCCTTAGTTGTGCCGCGGGGCAGACGAAGTGCCGGGGTCTCAGCCCTCAGAAGCCTCTTGTCTCCCGTCTTGTTCAGAGGCCTTCCGGTTCTCTGACCTTCTCGAAAGCCCTCCTTGAGCCCCCCCCCCCGCCCCCGACAGAGGGCGGGACCAGGCCCTCAGCATCTCTCCCTTGCAGGGCCCCGGGGGAGAGGGAGGGGTTTACAACTCAGGATGGCCCGGGGCAGGGAGTCACACCCACTGCTCGCCCCCCCCCCCCAGACACAGAACCGTGGGCAGCGCATGAAAGAGGGGGCCCACATCAATCGCTCGCTGCTGGCCCTGGGCAACTGCATCAACGCGCTGAGTGACAAGAGCAGCAACAAGTACATCAACTATCGTGACAGCAAACTCACCCGGCTCCTGAAGGTACCCAGGGTGGGGCCGCCAGCGTCACAGGAAAGATACAGGACGCCCGGCTGCATGTGAATTTCAAATAAACAAAATCTGTTTGGGTATAAGTATGTCTCATGCCATCTTTGGGACATACTTATACTAAAAAACAAAAAACAAAAACCCACTTGTTGTTTATCCAAAATTCAGATTTCACTGGGTGTCTTGTATGTTATCTGGTGACTCTCACCAAAGACTGGGCAGCAGGGAGGGAAAAGGGCTGCACCTGACCCCCCACCCCAGGGCTGTGGGTCTAGGGGAACTGGGGGGTCGTCTGGATTTGGGGGTTCAGGTGGTCAGTCAGCATCAGGGCTCCCAGAGGCTGCTGTCGGGGAGGCCCCGCTCCTGGCTGGGCTCTGTGTTCGTTGTCTCAGCACCCCCTTCTCGGTCCCTTTCATCTTGTCAGCGAGTCTGAGTTAGGGGATGACTATTTCCATTTGCAGATGAGGAAACCGAGGCACTGGGAGGCTAAGTAACCTTCCCAAGGCCTCACACTAGTAAGTGCTGGACGTAGGGTCCCAGCAGAGGTCTGTCTGGGCCGATAGCAGAGCTGCAGGTGACTTAATCGGCCTGCCAGCATCACTGCACTTACAGCCTGGGAGGTAGGACAGTTAATTCCTGCCACCCTCGAAACCCAAGGAAGCTGAGGACTAGAGAGGTGATGGAGCTTGCGGAGTCGCCCAGCTGGTAACTGCTGCGGCCAAGGGCTTTGTCTCCCCCCAAGCCCGCAGCCCCGCTGTGCACTCTCTCTCTGTCCAGGAGGGCACGGCAAGCCCAGGGCAAGGGAGGCGGTGGCCACAGGCCAAATTCAACCTTCATGCAGAGGTCCCCATCACCCCCCTCACTCCAGCCAAGACAACAGCGCCACCAGCAGTCGGATAAAGGGGGACCTGGGAAGCCAGAGGGGATGGGGGAGGGGCCCAGGGCCCCACGGGGCTCTTCCCCCTCTGGTTCCCAGCCACTCAGGGCCGCTGCCTTTCCTCGTTCTCACATATGAGGGGAGGAGAAGGGAAGCCGGGTAGACCCTGACCTGGATGTGAACTTTGGCAAAGAAGCTGGAAGAGGGAAGAAGGGGGGACAGCAGAGGAGGAGGGGAGAGTCCTGTGATGCTTGGCACCAGCGGCTGTGAGAGTGTGCGCGTGTGAGTGTGAGATAGAGGGAAACACACACACACACACACACACACACACACACACACACACACACACACACACACACACACCCCACAAGGGCATCACGAGCAGCCTGGCAGGAGCAGCGTGCAGGAAGGCAGGACCCTGCTGACCACAGCCCGCCCTCGGCCCCATCCAGGATTCCCTGGGGGGAAACAGCCGCACGGTGATGATCGCCCACATCAGCCCAGCGAGCAGTGCCTTTGAGGAATCCCGGAACACCCTGACCTACGCTGGCCGGGCCAAGAACATCAAGACCAGGGTGAGGGACCCCTGGTCTGTCCCCCAGGGCCCGCCTTCCTGGGCCAAGATTCGAGCCCCTGGACTGATTCCAGGCCCTGCCACGGCACCGCACATTCTCTGGAACCAGCCACCGTTGCACTGGCCCCACTCCCCAGTCCAGTGTCACCCCTGTGCCCTTCCCTGTTGCCTGCCGAGAAGCCCACAGCCCTTGAGAGTCCCCTTCTTCTCATGCAAGGTCTGTGCGCCCCGAGCCCCGTCATCCCCTTCCATCTTCCCCTTTTCATCTTCAGATACCCAGTCAGATGTTTACCTTTCCAAAGCCCCTAATCCTAACAGAGGTGACCGTTACTACGCACTTATGTTGGGCCCTTTATCAAATCATCTGATCCTCAAATGAGGCAGGCTCAGTTGAGGTTATTTCTGTCCCCGTTTCACAGCTGAGGAAAATGAGGCTGAAGGGAGTTAAGTGACCTCCCTGTCCCAGGGCAGTGATGACGCTGAGACTAGAGCTGTGTCTGCCTGGTTTCCAAGCCCACGTTCTCACCCTCTCCGGTGAACGTGTCAGAATCCCCACTATCTGTTAGGACGCTTGTTTCCACCGTGTGGGTAGAGGGGTGGGAATTCTAAGACAGAATTTCGTGAACACTCTCCCGACACTACGATTCGCCAGCCATTGTTCCAGGCACTTTATGCTTTATCCCAGCCCTCAAGGAACTGAATGATGGGAGGAGACAGGTAATAATAATACTCTGAATTGATAGTTCAGAATATTATTAACAGCAGGAAATGATGCCAACGATCGGGGATGGGGGTGCTGGTGGGATCCCCTGTAGCTCTTTGGAGACCGTGAGAGGGAAACAGGATGGGGAGGAAATTTAGGAAGAGAGGCAGCAGTAAGGGTAGAGGTTCCAGAGGCAGGAAGGAGATGGTGTCGGTGGTGGGAGTGGGGCAAGTGGGATGGCTCCTCGGCTGGAGCAGAATGTTCCTGATGGAGCAGTGAGTCAAAAGAAAATCTAGAGAGAGTGGTGGGGGGATTAGCATTCCCCCAAGCAGTAGGGAGCCACTGAAGGTTGACCAGGGAAGGCAGCATTTTAGGAGTATGCCTCTGGCGGAGGCACGCAGTGTCGAGAGGTTGTAGGGTCAGAGGCAAGGAGGCCATTACTGTCAGAAAGATTAGGGGTAAGAAAGAGAAAAGAGGAACCCGCAGGCAGGCCCCGGCGTCCAGGTGACCGTACCTGCTCCCCTCCCATCCCCACAGGTGAAGCAGAACCTGCTCAACGTCTCCTACCACATCGCGCAATACACCAGCATCATCGCCGACCTGCGGGGCGAGATCGAAAGGCTCAAGTGCAAGATGGACAAGCAGGGTGGGCGGGGCCAGGCCCACGGCCGGCTGGAGCGGGGCGACATCTGTCACATCCAAGGTGTGCGTGTGGGTCTGTGTTAGTGGGAGCCCGTCTCCCGAAGCCCATCCAGGCCGTCTCAAATTGCTCAGGGGTCAGGCAGGGCCGGGTTCAAAGCTAGACTCAGATTCTTTCTGGCTGGGTAGCCTTGGGCTAGTCATCAACCCCTCTGGGCCTTCAGTCCTTCAATTGTCAAATGGAATCGCGATCTCTGCTTCAGAGACTCGACCTGAGGGTTAGGTGGTATCACACGAGTGAGTGGCACGTGGGCATTTAGCTGCGTGGGGCGTCACTCTCGGGGCTGCAGCGCAGGGCTCCGAGACTGTGCCTGGCATCGCCAGAAGGGATACAGAGCTCATACACTTTCTGTATTTGCTATGATGATTTTCCAAAGTGTCTAAAGGGCACCTTTTATTAGTTGACAGAAAGGTGCTCTAAAGGCTGGCGGAAGCCCAGTTCATACAGAGAAGCTGGGAATCACCTTTGGGTCATAGCCTGAAGACTCAATGCGGAAGTGGGATGTGGGAGGGCTGTGGTAATCTAGGAGGTCTTTCTGGGGAGGTGCTTGCACAGGAAGTCTTTTGGGAAGAAAGAGAGGGGAGGGCCCCAGGTAGCCCAGACTTTCCTGGCCTGACCCTTCCTCCTCCACTGGCCTCCGCCACCTGCCGTTCAATGGCCAGCCAAGGTCCAGCTGCACAGCGAGAAGGGTGAGCAGGCTGAGATGGGACAGCTGCGGGAGCAGCTCATCAGCGCCTTCCAGGAGCAGATGGACGTGCGGAGACACCTGCTGGAGCTGGAGAACCACGCCATGGAGGTGCAGATCGACACCTCCCGCCACCTGCTCACCATTGCAGGGTGAGCACCCCCGGCCTGGGGCAGGGGCTGGGAGCTTGGAGATGCATGCCGTGCCTCCCACCGTGGCCTGAATCCCGGGTCTCCCTCGGGGGTGGGGCTGCGGCAGCTGGGAGCACGAGAAGTCACGCAGGGCACTCAAGTGGAGGGAGGAGCAACGCAAGGAGTCCTACACCAAGGACGACAGTGAGAAGGACTCGGACACAGGCGATGACCAGCCAGACATCCTGGAGCCCCCTGAGGTGGCCTGCGCCCGGGAGAGCATCGCTGCCCTGACGGGGGAGCAGAAGAAGCTGCGAAAGCAGAAGGTGCCTGGGGTTTGGGAGAGTGGGTTTGAGAGGCCCCAGCAGGAAGGGGCTGGGGGAGGCCTGGGAGCTGGGAGCTCAGGCCACAAATCCCCTGTGACCTCACTGAACTCCTTCACCTCCTTGTGCCTCTCTTACTCATCTGTAAGATGGGAGTAGTCAGCCCTAGTAGGGTTGTTGGGAAGATTAAACAAATGCCTTTCACATACCAAGGACTCAAAAAATGGTAGCCAATATCATAATTAGGATTTTCCAGATCTCTGCCCTCTGTTCTGGAGCATATCCTGGCCAGGGGGTTTCAGGGTACCGTGAGCCCGGAGGGCATCAGCTGGGCTGGGGCTCAGTAGATCCACGGAGCTGGTTCCAGGGATGGGTTGTGGTCAGGACGGCAAGAAGGTAGGCAGAGACGGGCCCTTCAGGTGCAGCCCCTGGTTGCAAGGCCCGAGAGGCAGCTTCGAGGGTGGGCCTCGGAACGGGGCTTCAGCCGGGAGCCCAGAGTCCGGGGACTGGAGGCGCGGGGACAGGCTCAGCGGTGGGCGAGAGCCCGCCTGGCGCTCACCCCGCTTGGTCCCCAGCTGACGCTGGAGCAGCGCTGCCGAGAGCTGCGCGCGCGCGGCCGGCGCCTAGAGGAGACGCTGCCGCGGCGCATCGGCTCCGAGGAGCAGCGCGAGGTGCTCAGCCTGCTGTGCCGCGTGCACGAGCTCGAGGTGGAGAACACGGAGATGCAGTCGCACGCGCTGCTCCGCGACGGCGCGCTCCGCCACCGCCGCGAGGCCCTGCGTCGCCTGGAGCAGCACCGCAGCCTCTGCGACGAGATCATCCAGGGCCAGCGGCAGATCATCGACGGTAGGGCCCGCGCCCCGCGCGTCCGAGCCGCCCACGGGCCCCATCGACCCGCGGAGGGCCCGAGGGCACGCGCTGAGCCCTGCCCCTCCCCTGGCAGACTACAGCTTGGCCGTCCCGCAGCGCCTGCAGGAGCTGTACGACGTGTACGTGCGAGCGCAGGACGAGGGCAGCCTGGAGCGGGCCGCCATCATGGACCGCGTGGCCTCTGGGGCCCTGCAGGTGGGCGCCTCGGGCCTGAGCACGCGCACACGCGCTAAGGGAGGGGCCGATGGCCAGGGCAGTGCGTGCAGGTCGTTGGCATATGTTGGTGGGACCAGGCTGGCTGGTCCCCAGGGAGCTGACTCCTTCCTTCTTATCCCACCCAAAGGCTCGCCAAGCCTGAGTAAGCTTCCTTTCTCGGCGTATTCTTCTCTGGCACTTGTCCCCACCCAGGGTCTGAAGGTCAGGTTTGGCTATCTGAGATATGACAAATGGCCCCAGACGCCCTCCCAGGAGACCAGGCCACCAGGCAGTGCCACGGGGGATGCCTGGCCTACCACAGCTTGTCCCTGGGGACCGAGAACAAGCCCACTGCCCTCTGGGGCTCCCAGCCCCTAGTACAGCCCCAGACACCCTGTGTGCCTTTGTCACCCTGTGCTGTTACCGGCCCAGGACCAAGTCTTCTGACTGCCCCTTCCCCACCTCCCCAGGACAGCTCCTTGCCCAAAATTAGCAGAGCAGGAAACTTGCCGACCCCAGAGTCCGACCCAGAGAGCGTGAAGACGCTGAGCTCCGAAGCCCAGCTCCTGCAGGGCAGCTTCCTGCCTCCGATCAGCACAGAGAGGTGAGGCCAGGGGCCACTGTCTGCCAGTCCTTCCTGCCTGAGCCACCACGGGCTGTGTCCCAGAGATGCCAGCCCAGATTAGGGTTTCCTGGGGGGGATGGAGCAGGAACGAAAGGGGGGAGGTGACACAGGTCTGGAGCCAGGACTTTTGGGTCCTCTCTCCCTTTACACAACAGCTCCCCCCTAGGGTGGGGGTGGGACCGCAGTGGGACCAGCCTGGTCAACAGATGCCCATCCTCCTCTGCCAACCTCAGTGAAGCCAACCACGTGTCCAAGGCCAGTTCTGGGGCCTGGCAGGTGAAGAGCTCCTCTGTGCCCACCCCACCACCCATCCAGATTGGCAGCTTGGTGACGCAGGAGGTGAGCACTGGGCGCCGCTGGCCCGATGGGCTCCTCTGCTGCAGGTGGGAGCACCAGGGTGGACACCCAGTGGTTGGGATGGAGCCTTTCCAAAACAGCCCCCTGGGGACATAGGGTCCCTGCTGTGTCCAGTGGCTTCTCTTCCCAACCAATTCGTCTCACAGGCCCCCACTCAGGACAGCCTGGGCAGCCTGAGCGGCCGGATCAACTCCTCCCCTGACAGCAGTGAGAACCTGTCAGAGATCCCTTTGTCCTGCAAAGGTGTGCCCCCTGCCCACCCTGTCAGCCTGAGCCTGGCATCATCCAAACTGCTCAGATCACCCAGCCCAGAGCCCCTTCCTTCCCTCTGCACTGCTAAGTACACCCATGCGTCGGGTGCTGACCGTCCTAGAAAGAGAGGCACCAGTGCCCAGAGAGGATTAACGACCTGCTCTGTCCACACAAAGCTGGGGGCACAATCAGAAACCGGAATGGGGAACACATGGCGCTTAGGATCACGCCCCACCTTCCCACTCAGAAATAATTGTAAGAGCAAATATAGACCGAACCCCTACGCCCTGGCCATAGGCTATGCCCGTTATCTCAGTTACTCCTCATAACCTGGGACTTCCCTGGCGGTCTAGTGGTTAAGACTCTGCGCTTCCACTGCAGGGGGCATGGGTTCGATCCCTGGTCGGGGAACTAAGGCTCGGCCAAAAAAAAAAAAAAAAAAATCCTCACAAGCCAGTGGGGTTAGTTTACAGATCCCCAGTTTACAGATGAAAGTAAGGCTCCCCAGTTTACAGATGAAAGTAAGGCTCAGAAACTTGCCCAAAGTTTCTTAAACAGCAAGCAAGGGGGGATGCTTTGGCAGAGAAGGGGTGTTGGAGGTGCAGGAGGGGGAGGAATATGTGGCCTTGATCCTCGGTTGGGTGCTCCTTTGTCCCGCCGCAGAGAGGAAGGAGATCCTGACGGACACCAAGTGCATCTCGGCGAAGGCTGCCCGGCGACGCTCTCGGGCCCTGGGCGCCGAGGGGCGCCACCTGCTGGCACCCAGCATGGAGCGCAGCAGCCTGTCCCTGCACTCGCTGAGCGAGGCTGACGATGCGCGGCCCCCCGGCCTGCTGGCCTGCAAGCGGCCACCCAGCCCCATGCTGCAGCACGCTGCCAGTGAGGACAACCTGTCCAGCAGCACGGGTGAGGCCCCATCCCGGGCCGTCGAGCATCGTGGCGATGGCCCCGGGCCCTGGCTGCGTGGCCAGAAGAAAAGCCTGGGCAAGAAACGGGAGGAGTTGCTGGAGGCAAAGAGGAGGAAGCGGAGGTCACAGTCCTTTGAGGTCACAGGGCAAGGGGTGAGTCCAGGGACAAGGACTGGGGGGTCTGGGCCCCTGCCTTGCTGGTGGGGCTCTGAGGGCTGGATTGCTCCCGCGGCCCCAGGGTAGCCCTAGCTGTGCACCACCCTCCATGCCGTATCCCCCCAAGCTGGCATAGCTGCCGGGGCAGACCCCTGCATCAGATCCGCATGCGGCTCCCACCTCACGTCACTGCTCTTCAACCAACACAGCTCTCCCGCCCCAAGACACACCTCCTGGGGCCCCATCCCGCGCAGAGCATCTTGGACCACAGGGTGCAAGTGTGCGGGCACCCAGCCTCTGGTACCCGGCATCTGGGAAAGGTCTCCCTGCCTATGGCCAAGGTCAAACTCCCTCCAAGCCAGAACCCAGGTCAGTACCAGCAAAGGAGGGAATGGGAGGGGAGCGCTTGGTCAGCCCAGGGAGGAAGCATGTGGAGCTCCCTGCCCTATGGCTGCCCCTTGCTGGAAACAGGGTTCTTGAAGAATATTTGTGGGGCTGGCACCTTGGGGGTGTGCCCCTAGGGAGTTCAGAGCCACTGGGTGATCAGAGGGGACGGAGGGGCATTCCTCAAGCACTGCTCGTGGCCCTTCCCCTGTTGCAGGCCCTGGGGACTCCTCACCCCTCGCTGTCCCCTCCAACCCAGCTGGTGTTTCCCAGCGGGCTACCCGGGGGCCCCGCCTGCCCCATGGCACAAGCACCCATGGCAAAGATGGACGCTTCCAACATAACTGAGGGGTCCTGCCTGGAACCGGCCCTCCTGCCCCCAAGACTGAATGGGGGGTAGCAGGAAATGGGAGATAGAGGCTGGGCAGACGGGGGTGCCCTGCGAGCAGGAGCTCAGGATCTCAGAAGGCGGGGGCTCCTGAGACCCCGGAACGGTGAGGGTGCCTGCCCAACACTTCCGTGCTTGCGGTGCCACTGGGAAAGGGAGGTGAGCCCAGGAAGCACGGCGGGATGGCAGGGCTCCCTGGCCTCCCAGCCCTGGACAGAAAACCCTGCTGCCAAAACCCCGTTCTGAGACCTGTGGCCCGACTTGGCCTCAGAAATGGGGGGGGAGGGAACTGTTAATGGGACAGGGCTCCTGGGCCCACATCTGGGGCAGGAACATTCCCATGCTGTGCTTGGGGTCGGGGAGGGAATCTGGTTTTGTTACTTAGCAGTGGCTTCCGCCCCCACCAAGCCCCCTTTTTAACAATAAAATCCCGTTTGAGTCTTGATGGTTGTGTTGGAAAGTAGACCTTGTCTGAAATGTGGGGTGGCCATGACTGATTAAGATTCAACCCAACTCCCCTCCCACCACCACCACCACCCCCTAGTGCCCTCTGGCTGGTTGTACAGCACCAACCTACAAACACCTGGGGGAAAGCAGTTTTCCTCTAGACCCTGAGGTCTTTCCCCAGGAAGGGCGGGGCTGTAAGGCCCATTCACATCCCCTCCCCCCAGCCTTCCCCCCTCCCCAGACCCCCTCCCAGGAGAGGCCAGAGACTTGGGGTGGTCCAGAAGCCAAATGAAGTGGTTACCCCCTGCAAGTCGGGACTCAGAAGTTGCTCAGCTAAGCCCCCCAGCTTCAGGGTGAGGAGCTCCCACAGTGGTACCCAGTGCCGTGACCAGTTGGATGCTTTTAGCTGCCCTGTTCCCTGTGGAGGTGGGGCCCTCAGGGAAAAGCTAAAGAAAGATGGGGAGCCCCTGACCTGTGCAGCCCTCCTTGGACGGCTTTTACCCATGAACTGGGTGGTTTAATCATCCCCTCGCCTCTCTGAGCATTGGTTTATTCTACCGTGTTACCTTCAAGTCAGCATGAAATCAGCTCCTGAAACCAGGCATCTGGTCTACCACCCCTCAGCTGGATTCCACCCAAGGGGCCAGGGTGGGCACCTCCACTGGCCATGCCACTCCTGGTCCCTCTGGCCCATCTCTGCCGGGCCTGTATTTCCCGATCCAGAGGCCTCAGGGACGCCGAGCTTCCCGCCCCGGGCCCCGCTTGGCTACTTGGGGATCCGGATGAGGGGGTGGTAGACGGGCTTCACGATGAGGTGCAGGTGCAGGGCGTTCTCCACCAGGTACTCGGAGTTGCGCCGCTGCAGGTCGGCGTGCGCCAGGAAGTCGCCGGCCTCCTCGCTGCTCTGGTGAAAGCTGTAGGCGTGGCGGACCAGCAGGCGGCCGTGCTGGCGCGTCCCCACCAGCACGGTCTTCTGGAAGCTCACGCCCGCCGCGTCGCCGCCGCTGCTGGCCGGCGTGACCACGAGCCGCGGCCGGCCGTCCTCGGGGCGCGCGAGGGGCAGCGCGGTGCCCGCGGCATCCGCGTAGACGGGCCGCAGGCTGACGGGCAGCCAGCGCGGCGAGAAGAGCACGTTCCACGTGACCCGGCGGCCCGAGTCGTGGCCGCTGGGGCCCAGCTGCGTCTGGAAGCTGGTGCTGCGATCGTCGCGGGCCGGGTTGTTGATGACCCACGGGGCGCCCCACGCGGGCGCGAGGTAGTTGCGGGGCAGGAAGGAGCTGCCGTTGACGTCGAAGAACTTGGCATAGTGCAGCGGCGAGGCGGCGTGGAACTGGTAGGCCTGCAGCAGGAGGTCGGCCACCGCCGGGCCGTGGCGCGCCAGGGCTGCCGAGCGCGCCTGCAGCTGGAACAGCTGCGCCGGCGGGATCATGGGGTAGCGGATGGAGCGCAGCGCCCGCTCGGCCACGGCGGGGGGCGGCCGCGCGCGGCCCAGCCACGCCTCCAGCGCGTGGAACAGCTCCAGCTCGTCCTGCAGCACCAGGTCCGAGCGCGGCAGCAGCTGCGCCAGCAGCTCGGGGCTCACGGCTCCCCACTCGGCGCTCCCCGCCACGGCCGACAGGTTCCAGGCCAGGAACTGCAGGCAGCTCTGGCGCAGGGCCTCGTCCCCGGTGCTCACCGCGTAGTGGTACCAGCCCACCGCCGGGCCCGCGCCGCCCGCCAGGTGCGCGCGCATGTAGTCGGCCACGCCCCGCTGCAGGGAGGACACGCCGTACTTGGTGGCCAGCCTGTGCAGGGGGATGGCCTGCGCCAGCAGCACGATCAGTTCGCCGCAGTAGAGGTACCTGCCGGAGAGGCGCAGAGATGGGGCGCGGTCAGGGCGGGCGGGCCCACCCCAACCCCACCCAGAGCCGCTTTCTGGGTCCAGAGGGCCCCGGCCTTGGTCAGAGACCATCATGGTCAAGGGCGCCAACAGAAGGGCCCTCCCAGGCTCATCCGACCTCACGGCCTCTTCTTTCCGTTTCTCGTGGGGACATGGAAATAGCATGCATGTATCGAGCACCTACTAGGTGGCGAGCTCTGTGCTAGAAGAAGACAGATGTAGCGCCTGCCATTGCGAGGTTTACTATCTGGACTCCCATGCCGCCAGCTGCTCGCTATGAGGGTGGGCACCATTTCACTGCGCTGTTTGCCTCTGGGACTAAAAGATGTTTCCCAGGCTCCCTTAGAGCGAGTGCGGGCACGTGACTGAATTCTAGCCAATGAGATGTCCGCAGAGGCACAGAGTGGGATTGGGGGAAGGCTGGTTAAATAGAACTGACTGGGGTGGCGGGGAGACCCTTTGGCCCTTCTGTGTTATCCCTGTTCCCGTTGCCCGGAAGTTGGAAGCAATGACTCGAATTCTGCAGCCATCTTATCTAAGCCGTCAAATCAGGGTCACTTTCTCAGGCTAGAGTGTGAATAGTGCCCCACTAGCAGGAGGCAGGAGATGGGGCAGAGAGATGGCTAACGTTTTTAGCTCCCTAGCCCTCTGGTTCAAGACGGGGCCAGACACCAAAGCCACCCGGAGACATTAAAATAAGAAACGACTGCTTGGGGGACTTCTCTGGTGGTCCGGTGGCTAAGACTCTTTGCTCCCAACGCGGGGGGTGGGTTCGATCCCTGGTCAGGGAGCTGGATCCCGCATGCCGCAGCTAAAGATCCCACGTGCCACAACTAAGACCCGGTGCAGCCAAATAAATAAATAAATTTTTTTTTTTAAGAAAGGAAAGAAACGACTGCTTGGCCCAACCCTAGACGGGAAGCCCAGGATCCAGGGTGGGGCCCGGGAATCTACAGTTTTTAAAAGCTCTCAGGGCCAGATTTGGAAACAGCTCTGAGGGTGACTGGTAAGTGACATCAAACCACACAGAGCCTCCAGGCAAGGGCAGGGGAGTCACGCTGCATTCTGCAGGAGTGCAGTGGAAGGAGGGAAGAAGGAGGCGGTTGCACGGTCATCCTAATGACATCCAGGGAATGGGCATGATGTCTGCGAGGATCCAGGGCTTCCATCACCCTGTGAGTGGAGAAGCCAGGGGCTTGGAAAGTCCTGGAGTCTTCCCCCTGATCCTTCCCCACCTGATGAACTTGTCAAAGACAGCAGCACCGTCCCGGGGCTCCTGCAGCACCACCTCGCTCTGGTTACTCAACAGCTCCCGGAACAGCTCACTGTGCAGTCCCAGCAGCAGGCGGTGGGCGTGGAAGACTCGGACCTCATCGGTGCCCGCAGCCTGGACCCGCAGCACCACGTCGCTGGCATTGCCCTGCCGCAGCAGCTCCTGCAGGCGTTGGAGCAGCGTCTGGGAGTGGTTGATGGAGGTGCCCGTTGACTCCCCGCCGACATCGGTTTTCTGGGCTGCAGCAGGAAGGAACACGGCACAGCCTGAGAAGGCACCCGGGCCCCAGGCAGCATGCTGGGGTTGCAGAGGGACCAGCTGAAGATGCATGTGGCTGGATGTGGGCAGAGAGTGGATGAGCCTGGGGAGGCTGTGTGCTCACCTGTTTGTGCCCATGAAGTGCGTGGATGCACGTGTGTGCACCCAAGCACATCCTGGCTGGGGAAGCTTGTAAACCTGACCCTGAGCAGACCCTGAGAGGATGCTCTTGGAAGGTGGGCAGATTCCTGGCGGAGAGAGCTCGTGACCCAGCGTGGGACAAAGTGTCCAGAGCTGGTCTCCATGATGCCAGACCCCTAGGCGGGAGTCGAGAAACCTCTTGGTTCCCCCCCGTCTCACCTCCTGAAGAACTGTGCACCCCACCCCTCGGAAGAGTTGTCCAAAAGAGTGCAGTCACTAACAAACTGAGCACTTACTACAAGCCAGGCACGCTCCTGGGAGCTCAGAATAGCACAGTGAACAAAACAAGCCAGCTTCTTACACTCATCAAAGCACAAGCCCCTTAGACAGGCAATAAATACACAAGTAAGCACTCTAGCTTTCGATTGTGGTAAATAAGGGAGGTGATAGCAGTGGGGTGGCAGCTCCTTTAGGTGCAGGAATCAGAGACAGGCTCCCTGAGGAAGCGCTGAGAAGGAGCCTGCCAGAGGCCCTGGAGGAGGATGGGCTTGGCAAGCTGGGGGGTGGGGGGGGCCGAGGATCCGCCCCAGCGCTGAGTGGGAGGGGAGGGCCTGGCTGTGAGAGGAGGCTGCAGCCTGGAGGGGAAGCTGCTTCCAGGCCCAGCAGCCCTCCTGGGTCCCGTTTCCACTGGCCTGCGGGAGACCAGAGAAAGCACAGAGGGCCAGCTTGTCCTGGACAGGACTCTCGGGGTACCTGTGCCTTGAGGCTGGTGTTTCCGCCTTGCAGGCTGGGCGCGCTGGGCCCTTCTCGCATGTTTCCAGGGATACCGTGAGGGTCAGCTGGGGACATGCCCTCGGTGACAGAAAACTCAATGACAGAAAACACTGCCAGCAGCTTCTCCAAGCGGAGCACAGTGTGAGGAGCTGACAGCCGCAGATGGGCACACCTACCCCCCAGCGCGCGCGCACACACACACACACATGCACACACACGCACTCACACTCACACACACACACACACACACACACACGAGTCCCGAGGCCCATGTGCGCTCTTGGAGAGGACACTCACAGGAGAGCAGAGCATCTTTGTGTAAAGCAAGAGGGAGACAGAGGGAGGAAGAAAGGGTGAGAGGAGCCCGAGGTTATCTCCCAGCCCCGCCTCTCCAAGCTGTCACACTGAAGGCCCCGAATGCGGATGGCATCCCCACTCGCCTCTAGCTGCGCCCAGCTGCCTGGGACAATGGACAGTGGAAGGGTCTTTCTTGTCGTTGAGACTCCTGCCTGCCTGCCCGCCCAGCCCTCGTCCCCTCGGAGGCAGGCTGCCCTCCTCCACGGAGCTGTGTGATCAAATCCACTCTGCGCCCGTCCTGGCTGGCTGGACACCGCCCCCTCCTGGCCGTGTGTGGCTAAGGCCGGAAGGTCCTGCCCCTTCTCCCTGCCCGCTGCCCACTCACCTGCACGAGTGACCAGGCCCACTAGGGTCAGGATGGCCCAGAAGCTGGCCCAGGACCCAGGTTTGGTGTAGCCCAACCTAAGCATCTTTGTGCCCTGCCCCCAAGCCCACTGGAGGGAGAGCGAAGCCCAGACCTCTCCACTCACATTCCTCCTCCTTATATAGGGTCCCGCCCAAGGGGCTGGTGCCCTCCCTTCCCCGGCTGGCTTCCCGCCCACCACCCAGCCTCTGCCGTGGATTGGTGGAAACGGGCCCCAGCTGTTGCCCAGGCAACGAGTTAAGCCAGAGAGCAGCAGCCCCAGGGGCTATTGTGCTGCCGGTGGGCCCCTGAGGGGGACGGATCCGGCACCCTCCCCCATAGCTCCTACCACCTGGCACAGCGAGTCATTCCTCTTCTGGGAAGTTTAAGGCTCTCCAAAGGGCAGGCAGAGGGCTCCAGAACCAGTGGCCGCCACCAGCGCAGAGGGTCGCCAGCCCCCTCCCCGGATCCCAAGCTCAGCCTCCACCCTGGCACAGAGCACGAGCTTGCCAGCGTCACGGCTGGGGAGCCGTGGGGAGCCGGCTGCAAAGGAAGGGCCTGGAAGAGAAACACGGCGGCAGCTCAGGCTCCCACCCCTCCCCCTCTCCCATTTTGGGGTGGGCTGGCTCTCCAGAAAGGAGGGCAAGGGTCTCAAATAGGGGCCCGCGGGGTAACTGATAGCATTTTCGTGTTCTTCTTTGAAGAATGTTCCTGGGAGGGTGATGAGCCTTTAGGGAGGTGGGGGCTGTGACCAGCACACCCCTCACCCCGGGTCAAGGTGAGCTAAGATGGCAGGGCTGGGCATAGAGGAGCTGCACCCGAGCCTGTGCACCCCTGCACGGAGCACCCCTGCCCAGAGCAGAGCTGGCCGCCTCGCTGGAGGCTGGTCCTCGGCGGGCATCCCACCCCCCGCCCAAGCAGCCCAGATCCAGGCATGGGGACTGGAGATGCCTGGTCACTTCCTTCCTGTAATTCACCTTCCCAAGAGGTCTCAGGTCTCCTGGTTCACCTTGTTGGAAGGCTTCTTTTACCAGCTTCTGTCCAACCTCCTAGTGTAATTTTTCCCATCTCAGAGTTCCAAGGAGACACACGGCAGACCCAGTACCCCACCCTGACAGTTGGAGAAACAGGCAGAGAGCTAGGTGGCCATTTCAGCTGGGTTAGTACAGAGGAGAGCTCTTCTAAGGACAAAGGAACAGAGAGAGGAGGGTGGCATCTAGAGCCCAAGGGGTGTGTGTTATGGGTGGGCAGGTGCTGGGGAGGCCTCACCTTTTCCAGAAGCAAGTAGGGCCTGGCCCCGATCTCCATGGGAGGGAGTCCTTCCAAGTTGATGAATTGAAATGGTGGAGGTGGGGTGCGCTCCTGAGAGATCCAGCTCAGAGGTTCTCCTGAGGCTGGGTCTTTAACTGGGGATGGGTGGGAGCCCACCCTCCTTTGCTCTCTGGATGCCAGGGACCAGCTCCACGCATTGATTTCTGCCCCGGGCTGGCACAGAGAGACCCAACAGCTCCACCCCCCTCTCTGGAGCCACAGAGAGAGCGGGAAGTGGGTCTGGCACCTGCCTCGTCCGGGTTGGCAAACATGTAGCTGTCCAGCCCAGCGGAAACCCCTCCCGGCTGTCCTGACCTTCACGCCTGGTTCCCCTCGTCCAGATCCACCATCCCTTGCCCACTGGCTGCCTGCCTGCCCTTCCCGTGGGCTGCACCGCCTCCCTGGCCCAGCTCAGAAAAACAGAGCCTCAGTGTGACGGGGGTCGTGGCCTCTGAGGGCATCCCGGCTTCCATGTGCAATGCTTTCCGACAGGAATGTTGATGATAAAAAGATGACGCTAAGAGAACCCGCTACTCAGAAAATGGTCTTAACTTCTTAACTCCAGCCTCCTTGCGGCGCTGCATCAGCCCCTAGAGGTGCGGCTGCCTGCGCTGGAATCTCCCACACTCCACCTAGGAGCCAGGGCACCTGTGTCTTCTCAGCATCTCGGCGATTGTCCTGTACACCCCCAAGCTAAGGTCTACCTGCTAGAATTACATGGATGGCACTTCAAGTGTGCAGGGATCGGGGAGGTCCCAGGTTACCAAGAGGACTCAGGAGGGTCACCTCTGACTCCCCATCTCTGAGAGGCTCCACCTCTTACTAGCTCTAACTTCTGTTACCCCTGAAACCCCTCTACTGATTTAGAAACTGGCTTTCCAGGAATACGCATCCTCCGTTCTCATTTTCTTAGCCTGAGGTTTTCTGGAGTGTGTGTGTGTGTGTGTGTGTGTGCGCGCTATGTATGTCTGCACACGTGTATGTGTGTGTGGTGTGTAAGTGTGCATGCATGTGTTTTGTTTTGGCCACACCGCACAGCATGCATGATCTTATTTCCCTGACCAGGGATCGAACCCGTGCCCCCTACAGTGGAAGCGCGGCGTCCTAACCACTGGACTGCCAGGGAATTCCCTGCGTGCGTGTGTTTGTGTGTGTGGTGTGCGTGAGAGTCTTGGAGCTGGAGAGAAGAAGGAGGGCGTTCGCCCTGCCCAATCTTGGAGATGGAAGATCTGAGACAATCTGTTTCATTTTGCCCTGTCGATCTGGAAGCTCCATAATTCCTTGAGAGCAACTCTGAGCTAGAACAGAGAGCAGTGTCGCTTCCCGCCCGAGGCAAGGGTATCTATAACTCAAGGGACTTGTCTGAGGTTTCACGGCTCGGAATGGGCAGAGCCAGGATTCAAGTGCTGCGTTGCTGCTTTTCTTTCCACAGCCCCATACTGTCTTTTCTGGGAAGCTACTGTGTTGGCGAAAAAGTTCATTCGGCCCTTTGGGTAACAGCTTACGGAAAAACCTGAACGAATGTTCAGTAGCCAATGTTTCAGTAGCCATAGATGATCCCCGTGGGGCAAGGAATCTCTAGTGCTGGAGAAGCAAGCTTGGGGCAGATATAGAGTTTCTGGATCTGTGGCGTGAGTAATCAGACACAGGACGGCGGAGGGGTGGGCTCCCAGCCCCAGCCCCACCCCAGCTGCACCTGTGACGTCTCCCTTCCTGAGCTAGGGAGCCCCCAAACGCTTCGATTGGGGAGGAGCGAATCCTGAGCTTAGGTTCCAGGCCACGTGGATTCAGGGGGGCACAGCGATGCTACACAGGAAGGAATTGCGCCCTGAAGTAACTGACATGATACTGAAAGCTTCCCCTGAAGCCGGGCTGTCCCGCGGTGGCACACCTGCCCTCCTGCCTCCATCCTGCTGTCCCCCGACTGGAGGGCCTTCCGCATCCGAGTGCTGTCCGCCTGGCCCACTTCCTCTGCCCGTAAAGCCCGAGCCCACAGTGGCCTCGTGCTGCCTCAGCCCCTGCTCTTCCGGAGAGCAGATGGTGGGAGCGAGTGACCAGCGAACAGCTCTGGGGGAGGGACAAACCCACGTTCAATGTCCAGCCTCCACTTGCTAGCTCTGTGGGCTTAGCGGAGTTGCTGGCCTTCTCTGAGCCTCGGTCCCCTCTTGTGTGAAACGGAGGTAACCTGAGTTAGCTTGAGGGGCTGCCGGGAGGGTGACACGTGTAGGACAGGGTAGGTCCTCAGGAAATGTCAGCAGAGCCCCTCACACCCGGCTGTAGACGGCCCCCTGCTCATCCGCAGCGTCCTGGCGCAGGGAGGTGGTGGCCTGAGGAATTATCTGTGCTCCTCGCACCCTCTGGGGCTGGAGTCCTGGACACTCTGCCTGGGGACCTGAGTGGGTAGTGCCTACTCTGGTCCCACTGTGCCACCCAGGGGATCTGGCCAAAGCCAGAGGGCTCTTGGAGGACTTCAGGGTCAGGCCCCAGCCAGCAGGGGTCAGCAAGGCCTCTGGGAGTTCCAGGGCTGCGCGTGGAGATGAGGCTGGGGGTGGGCGTCCAGGTAGCTCCAGCCCAGGAATTGGGATCTAACGTAGGGAAACCAGCTCTGGGACGTTCCCAGAGGGTGAGCGTGGGAAGCGAGTGCTGGCTGGGCCTCAGCTCTCCTCGAGCCACTCCACACATTGTCCCGGGTGCCCTCTGTGGGCTGCACCGGTCGCTCTTCCCCGCATGGGGCTGGGGAGCCGGCCGGGCACAGGTTCCAGCCTCTCCAGGGCGCAAGCCACGCCGGATGGTGTTGATCTGCCGGTGACTAACTTTCCTTAAAGGATGGTCCATTTCACCAGGGCCAGGAAAACAACGGCTTGCAAGGAGCCGCTGGGTCTGGGTTTCCCAGCGCTGTTGGCAGCCTGGTCAGGCTTCCGCTGGCCTGGTCGTCACAGCCAGCACTGGGCATGGCTTCCTGCCATCCTTCCAGGCCAACAGCCCGCCAGGGTAGTCTCCTTCTCGTCCCACCACCCGCAGCCACTGCGGCACTGACTGCTTCAAACCTGGCCCGTGGGGCTTCGCTCCAGATCTGGGTCCTGCCCAGGGCAGCCTCAGCTCTCCCTCCCCAGCACGGGTTCCCTCCCCCCAGCCCCCTCTGAGTCAGCTCCTGGAATCTGTCTGCCTTTCCCCAAACGCCTCACGCCCGGGGTTTGACTGCCAGACCGAGGCCAGGCCGGTTCCCAGAGTGCCCTGGAGCACGAGGCAGCCCAACCAGAGCCCTGATGCTACCCCCCGCCCCAAGGTCTGCCTCCCAGCCTCGCCCCTCCCCTGCCTGTGCACCCTCCCCATCCTGGTTTGCTCCGGGCCTCTGCCCCGCCCTCCCCTTCCCCCTCCTCCCTCCCCCCTCCACCCCACCTCCGTGCACTGACCGTCAGGCTCCGCACCGCTGGAATAATCCTGGGGCAAACAACGGCTCGGAGAGCTGGCGATGATGAGAGCGAGCTGCTGGGACCACCGGAAAAAGCCACGGGGTGACCCAGGACTCAGCACCCAGGAGCATGCGGCTTGCAGGACAAGAGACAGGTAAAGTGTCTAGGGCCAGGGTGGGCAGGGACAGTAAGGCGGCAGGGCCAGTGAGGAATCTAGAGTCCGGGAGAGGGGAGCTGGAAGCGGATATGGAAACGTCAAAAGCTGGAAGGTGGAACCTAAACTCCTAAAGTGTGGACTAAGAGGCAGGGACCAGAGCATGCGGAAGGGCCTTATCCCAGACTGGCCACCTGCCAGCTGCGTGTGACGGCAGGCAGGTCACCTTCCCCCCTCTGGACTCAGTTTCCCAGTCTGAAAACCGGGGCCATTCCAGCTCCGATAGCACTAGGAGAGGGTGCTCTCCAGCGTAGAAAGGAGCGGAACTCAGTAACGTCTCTCCTTAAAGAGGGGGGTGGCTGTTGGCAGAGTAGTGCAGCTGCCGTGAGTTACTGTGGGTCAGGATCACCCGGGATGCTTTAAAAACACAGCTGCCCAAGCGCCGGTGCAGACCCTCTGGCTCAGGCCGCCTGGAGCAAGGCCCAGGGCCCCACCCCCAAACCCCCTCCTGACCGTGACTAGCAGCCCGTTTAGGGCCCTGCTTTGCAGGCTGAAGACCCACCAGGAGCAAATATGATCGAGAAATAGTCTCCGTGTCAGCAAGAAACGCCAACAAGTGCTTCTTCCCGCCGGCGGGGCAGCCGGGCCACTGCGGGGTGGGCTGGGGTGGAGTGTGCTTGGCACGAAGCGTTACCGTTTGGCTGGGCCTGACCACAGGGTCTGCACAGAGTGGGGGTGAGTAAAGCCCTCAGGGGCAGGGGCAGGGTAGGGCTGCTGCCAGGCCAGGCTGGAAAGGAACCAAATGCTCTAACCCACCCTCTGCGCTTCCCAGCGGGCCAGCTACAGGTGACGCCAATGCTCACACCCAATGGCAGTGGGCTGAGCCAGGAGTTTGAAGGCCATTGGCCGGAGATCCCAGAGAGGTCCCCGTGTGTGGCCGGGGTCATCCCTGTCATCTACTACAGCGTCCTGCTGGGCCTGGGGCTGCCTGGTGAGTGGGGAGCTGGGTCTGGGGTCCTGGGGTTGCCCAGAAGTTGGAGTCCTCCTTCAATGGGTGCCAGTCCTCTGGGCTGACCCCTGAAACCCAGGATCATAGACCCCAGGGCTCTCCTTGCCTTTGTGGGGTGATCTGGGTCACTGGAAAGCCAAGCATAGTGGGGAGTAAAAGTGAGGGGCCAGGAGTTGGGGTGCTCTATAGCTAAACCCAAGTTTTCACCACAGCAGACAGCCCTCTTCTACCCCCAGGAATGGGCACTTCCTAGGATGACTAAGTTTGTGCATGACCGCCCCCAGCTCCATCAAAAGCTTCCTGTACCATCCACTGCGTTCAGAGAGCAGAGCTGGGGGTCGGGTGGGGTGTGGATGCAGGAAAGTACGGGTGGAATTAGGGAACTGCCCATCCCTGTGCCCGTTGCCAGGGAAGCTAGCGTATAAGGCAGTGGCCTACGGCGCATGACTGGACAAGGCAGGGCTGATCTGATTAACCTTCCGGACAAAGTGAGGTTTAAGAAGGGTCTGGAAAGAGGAAAAGAGAAGCTAGAACCAGCAGGTGGGGAGGGACGATGAGAAAGCAGATCCGAGGAGCCCTTCTAACGCCTCTGACCTCTCCCCTCCCTGACCTCGGTTGCCATCAGTCAACCTCCTGACCACAGTGGCCCTGGCCCGCCTCGCCGCCAGGACCAGGAAGCCCTCCTACTACTACCTTCTGGCGCTCACGGCCTCGGATGTCATCACCCAGGTAGTCATCGTGTTCGTGGGCTTCCTCCTACAGGGAGCAGTGCTGGCCCGAAAGGTGCCCCAGGCTGTGGTGCGTGCGGCTAACATCCTGGAGTTTGCTGCCAACCACGCCTCAGTCTGGATCGCCGTCCTGCTCACGGTCGACCGGTACAGCGCCCTGTGCCACCCCCTGCACCATCGGGCCACCTCATCCCCAGGCCGGACCCGGCGGGCCATCGCTGCTGTCCTTGGTGCTGCCCTGCTGACTGGCATCCCCTTCTACTGGTGGATGGACGTGTGGAGGGACGAGGACCCCCCCAGCACACTGGACAAGGTCCTCAAGTGGGCTCACTGCCTCATCGTCTATTTCATCCCTTGTGGCGTTTTCCTGGTCGCCAACTCGGCCATTGTCTGCCAGCTACAGAGAAGGGGCCAGAGTGGGCCTCGGCCCCGGGTGGGCAAGAGCACCGCCATCCTCCTGGGTGTCACCACGCTCTTCGCCCTCCTTTGGGCACCCCGCATCTTTGTCATGCTCTACCACCTGTACGTGGCCCCCGTCTACCGGGACTGGAGGGTCCACCTGGCCTTGGATGTGTCCAACATGGCGGCCATGCTCAACACAGCAGTCAACTTTGGGCTCTACTCCTTTGTGAGCAAGACCTTCCGGGCCACTGTCCAGGAGGTCATACATGACGCCCACCTGCCCTGCACCTTGGGGTCACAGCCAGCGGGCGTGGTGGCGGAACCTGTGCTGAAGCCTGCAGGACTGCCCAAAGGGGCAGGACTGTAGAGGAGGAGCCCATGCAGAGAGCTTGGGGTGGCTCACAGCCAGATTCCTGGGGTCTTTGTGGTTGCTTCCACAAAACTTTATCAGTACCCTACTTTGCAATCTGGGGATGAAAGGAGAGGCTCCTTCCTTCAGGGGTGGCTTCCCAGGAAGCTAAATTAGTGTTGGTTGAATGAATGAATGAGTGACTGAATAGATGGATGGATGGATGGATGGATGGATGAATATGAGTTGTTTCCAGCCCACCCCTTCCTGGAGCCCACCTCTCATTCCCTGAGTTGATTACTTCTCCGGCTTCTAGTGGCAATGCCAGGGAGAAAGGGAGATGTCCGCCGGATTCCAGGCCTTTCCTGGGCTGCGGGAACCAAATGCAGGGGGCTGAACAATGGGAGACGGGCTGCCTGAGAAAGGGAGTGGTCTTTTTTTTTTTTTTTTTTGAAAGGGAGTGGTCTGAAGCAGATTCAATGCCCCAGCCCTGGGGCGACATAACCTCTGGGGTCTCTAGCATCCTGGACTGATTAAATCCCTGCCCTGGAGCCAGAACAGGTTCAGGGCCCCAGAACAGCCCTGGGGAGGCACTTTCCATAGTTGCTGAGGACCAGGACTAAGAAAGAAAATGTCCTCTTAGCTCAGGGGCCAGGAGAGCGGAAGGGGCCTCCCGGCCACACCCCTAAGCTCACTCCTCTTGGAGAAGAAGCCTCTTTCTCCACCAAGGGGAGGAAGGGAGATGGCTCCGCCAATCTGAGACTCTGAGGGGCTCTGCTTGGCCCCTCCCAGCCTCCCTCCTTTCAGCCATGCCAACCGGGAGAGGCAGCTGGGAGAGATTAGCAGACAAACCTCCCACCTGCTCCAGGCACTGGGTAAACACATTAGCCGTCTGCTCTCTGCTTTTAGACCAGACTGAGCTGACCTTTCCCCTGAACGTGAGGTCCAGGCGGGCCCCCACAGGCACGCAACCCCTTAATGGGATCACAGAAGGGAAAGAGCCAGTTCTGTGCTGGGCAAACAGTCGGTGCAAAATAAATGCACTTGGCTTTCCCCCTTTCCTCTCTACTTCTCCCCACAGCAGAAATGTCCAGGAAGGGACTTTCAGCCACACCCAGAAGGAGGAAAAGGCAGGTCCCCAATCCTTTATCCACAATTCTAAACTCCAAAAACTCTGAAAACCAGGACCGTTTTCCTGAGTTTGCCACAAACACACCAGAATAGATACAAGACCACACATGTCTTGGTGTTGTCCCACTGCATAGGTTCCGCTGCAGACTCTCAGCGGGTGTGATTTTGCGACAACGCCCTACACCCAGAGAATAGAACAGAATAGAGAGCTGTTACTTTATCTAAACCACACATTACCTTCCTCTATTCTGAAAAATTCTGAATCCTGAGACACCTCTGGTCCCAAGAGTTCAGAGAGAGGATGGAGGACCTGTACGTCCCATCACTTTTGCCACAGCAAGGTCTCAGCTGGCCCTGAGTGGGTCTGGGGCGTGGCAGATTCCCCCATGGTTACCGAAGCAAACTTGGGTCCGCTTGCCTGCTCACAGTCAAGCCAATCTACTGACACCCGGTTGTGGTGAAGGAAAGGGCAACATTGATCGCAGGACGCCAAGCAAGGAGTCCAGGCGGCTAATGCTCAGAAGGCTGCAACTCCCCGATGGCTTTTAGGGAACGGTTTTTAGACAGGATGAGGGAGAGGGTCACAGGGTGAGTGATCAGCTCGTGGACACTCTTCTGATAGGTGGGTAGTGAGGGAATCAACATCATCGACCTTCTGTTTCCAATTGGTCTGGAGTCTACATGCTTGTGGGCAGCATACAGTTAATTTCTTCCACCTGGTAGGGGTTTCAGTCTCTGCAAAACAGCTCAGAGGACTTGGCACAGAGTATTATCTATAGCCCTTGAGGAGGAACTAAAGGTCCTTGACTTTGCTTAACGATGAAACTATTATTATTTTGTCTTGTTTGACTGTTTTCTTTTTTCCAATAAATGTATTTCCTTGTAATTTAACATACCAGACAAGGAGTTCGGGCCTTTTAAGCCCTAGCTGCCTGGACTCCTTGCTTGGTGCCCTGCAATAAACGTTGCACTTTCCTTCACCACAACCAGTGTCAGTGGATTGGCTTTACTGTGAGCAGGCAAGTGGAATCAAGTTTGGTTTGGTAGCACTATGTGCGCACAGACGTGTCCGTGGGTAGAGCTGATGCACCAGAGCTTCATTCCTTGCTTAAGGGGGGGGGGGTGCAAGTCCAGGTACCCCAAGAAGGGGCACAAGAAGGTGAGACGAGGCCTTCCCCAGCCCAGCCCCAGGGGCCAAGTCCACCCTACAGAGGATAGGTGCTTTTGATGCAGAATCAAATGGAATGTCTTGAGGGAGAGACCCCCCTCCCCCTCTATACGAAACCTGTGGGGCCCTGCAGGAGAGCTGCCCAGTACCAGGGGGTACCCTTGGCATGGAAGGCAACTGTGGTGGGGCAAGACTGGAAGCCTGGGACTTTCCTGGTGGTCCAGTGGTTGGGACTTTGTGCTGCCACTGCAGGGGGCATGGGTTCAATCCCTGGTCAGGGAACTAGGATCCCGTGTGCTATGTAGCACAGCCAAGAAAAAAAAATGAAGATGGGAAGCCTCTTTCAACTGGCTGGTGGGCTGTCTTCAAGGAGACAGAAAGATTCACTCACCTGTCCCCAAACACCAGGGAAACCAGGTAGTTCCAGAAACAGGTGAGGAGGCTCTATTGAGGCAGGTAGCATTCTGCACTGGTGGGGGATTCAAGCCATGGGAATGTGGGTGTCCCTATTGATGTGACCTCACTTGTACCCACAGGCTGAAGCGACATCAGTGTTTTCAAATAACCCAGCATACTGAGTATTGCGACCATTTTACAGACAGAGGAAACGGAGGCACAGAGAGGTTCAGTGATATGCACGTGGCCCTAAGCTGGTCAAGAACACCACTGAGACTCAAATTCATGTCTACTGGTCCCTGTTTCCTTCTCAGTCCACCCGTCACCTTGCAGGTGGTCTCAGGTGCAGAAGATTAGAGGAAGGGCAGCTTCAGGGCTGCTTGCATCACTTGTAACTTTTTGGTTCTGGACTTAACAGATTCAGGAACCAATATCATATTTCTCTAATAAGATGCATTAGGTAGCAGTTCCTTTTTAATATTTTTGTAACTTTTTTTTTTTCTTTTGTGGTACGCGGGCCTCTCACTATTGTGGCCTCTCCCGTTGCGGGGCACAGGCTCCGGACGCGCAGGCTCAGCGGCCATGGCTCACGGGCCCAGCCGCTCCGTGGCACGTGGGATCTTCCCGGACCGGGGCACGAACCTGTGTCCCCTGCATCGGCAGGTGGACTCTCAACCACTGCACCACCAGGGAAGCCCTATTTTCATAACTTTTAATAAAAGGACGAGATCGTCACTGTGACAAGCATGTCACTGAAATGGGAATGAAAAGTATTCTTAAAACGGCTCTTGATGACTAATAAGAACCTGCAGTATAAACAAACAAACAAACAAAACAACTAATACTAAACTTTCTTTGGCTTATTTGTATAGAAATATGTTAATATAAATGTTTCAGACATGACATGAAATTTCTAAAATTCTTAAAAAAAAAAACAAAACTGCTCACGTTTCCTTTATGCATTTCTGTTGTCAAACTCTCAATGGCTTCTGGAGAACAAGACAGCAGGCGTGTGGGTTACCCTTCTCGCCTCCATCCCATCTGCTGAAATAGCTTGGCTAACGGAAATCCTTTTTGGAATTCTAAGTTTTTTCCTTACAGGTCGCCCCCCCAACCCCCACCCCACACACAATTTGTCAGTTGATCTTATGTTCTATTTTTTAACCCTTTGTTAATATTTAAAGACAATGATTTTTCTAGTGTCTTTCACATCTTTCCAAGTCTATATATGATTTTTGCTGTCTTCTGGTCTCTACATCCATGTGTATTTGTCTTCTAGGGCTGCCTTAACAAAAAAAAAGCCATAGACTGAGTGGCTTAAACAACAGAAATTCATTTTCTTAAGGTTCTGGACGCTGGAAGTCCAAGAGCAAGGTGTTGGCAGGTTTGGTGTCTTCTGAAACCTTTTCCCTTGGCTGGCAGGTAGCTGTCTCCTATCTATGTCTTAAAAAGCTCTTTCCTTTTTGCGGGCACATGCCTGGTGTCTCTCCTTTTAAGGACACCAGTCATATTGGATGAGTGGCTACCCTATTGGCCTCATTTTAACTTAATCATCTCTTGAAATTCACATTCTGTGGTACAGGGGGTTTAGGACTTCAATCTGTGAATTTAGGGAGACACAATCCGGCCCATACACTAAGGTTATTTTTCTTCTCTTTTCTTTTCTTTCTTTTTTTTTGGGGGGGGTGCCGTGTCACACAGCTTGCAGGATCTCAGTTCCCGGACCAGGGATTGAACCTGGGCCTCCACAGTGAAGGCGCTGAATCCTAACCGCTAGGCCACCAGGGAAGTCCCCACTGTGGTTAATTGAAAGAAAACTGTTAGTTTGGTGCATATCCAGCTCTTGATGAAAGGAATTTTTCTCTTAGCTTTATAGGCAATGTCCCTCCACTTTTCCTTCTGGTTGGCGTAGCAGGATTCAGCCTCAGTCTTGTATCTTTCAACACGACCTCTCCTTTCTCCCTGGATTCTTGGAAGATCTTGATTAAACCATAATGAAGATGTATCTGAGGACAAGTGTCTTCCTTCAAGAAGTTTGCCCAGAGTCTGCTACAGAGCTTTTCAATTCCACACTGAGAGTATCTTTTCGTTCAGAAGAATTTTCTTCACTTTCTTAATCGTGACTGGGTTGCTGGCCCCCTTTTCCCTCTACCGCTCTTATTTGTCCTCAGGCAGGAGCATAAGTGCCTTGTTTGCCACATTTCCTGGGTTCCCTTTAGTGCCCTCGCCTCCAATAGCGATTTTTCCATTCTGCGTCCAGCTTCAAGTTTGCACGACCTGCGGGCATCGCCAAAGATTCCCTGTTATCTGCGCTTACTTCCTCTGCTTCCCCACACGATACCAGAGCTCCCAGGGGCTTCTGAGGTGCAATCTCACTCCCCCAGCGCCACCCCCACCCCGCCCCATTTACATTCCCGTCCAGCCCGCTTCGGGCTAGTTGGGTAAAGCGCGTCACAGCTGTCCACGTCCTCCTGGGATGGGGAAGGGTGGGAGGGGACAAATCGCCAGGCTTCTGGAGGATCTGCTGTTTTCAGCAACCTGGCCCAGGGGAGGGCCCCACCCCAGAGAACAAAACCCTACTTTTCCACCGAATTAAACGTTGAGCGCCTTGGTCGGCCAGGTTATAGATGTGCCGGCAGGGACAATGGGACAGTCTTTGACATGGGGGTGTCTTGGGGATCTTGGCTCCCCCAGCCCCAAAGCCCTGGCTCCTTTGTCAGTGGGGAAGCTTGGGCTCCTTAGAGGTCCTTACGGCCCGACTTCCCCCTTTGGCCTGTCGCTATGGGCTCAGACAGCAGAGGGCGCTGCAGGACTGGAGGGATGAACAGACTGGCCTGGGAGCCTGGGGGCGGGGCTTTAAGCCAGATTTCTAGGCAGATCCGAGTTACTGCAAAGAAACTGTCAGCCCCGCGAGCCACAGCCAGCGGGGAGCAGTTGGGTGGGACGACTCCGCTGTTCCCCTGGTCAGACCCCTCCACCCTGAAGCCACGAAGCCACGTGCTTCCTCCAGCTGGGGTTGGGAGTGGAGGCGGGCGGCAGGTCACTGCAGTTTTCTCAGATCCTTCTGGTGGTTGGAAACGCTTCCTGCGCGAGGCACTCTATGAAGGGCCCTTTCATCACCCTCGTCCCTCCCCTCTCCAGGGGCAGGGTCCGGCCAGCCCCTCCCCCTGGTCTCAGGTTCAGCTGCCTGCCTTCCCCATTGTGCGGAGCCCAGCCCTCCTGGGTTCAGAGCCCCAGGGCTCCAGTCAGTCCTCTGGGGTCCCAAGTTCCACCAGCGGTTCCTGTCCACGGCAACCACTTGGGCATCCTGCCCCCTGAGGGAGTTTGAGTCTTGCCACCAGCGGCACACGACAAGGATGGAGGGAAAGGGGCTGGGAAGGTGAGGAGGGAGGG